TTTCTTAGAAGTACAATTAAGTGTTCTGGAATACTCATACTTCTCAATGTTGTCCATAGCTTGTCATGATCCACACAATTGAAAGCCTTTGCGTAGTCAATAAAGCACAGGTAAACATCCTTCCGATATTCTCTGCTTTCAGCCAAGATCCATCAGACATCAGTAATGATATCTCTCATTCCATGGCCTCTCTGAATCCAGCTTGAACCTCTGGGAGTTCTCTGTCAATGTATGATTGCAGCCATTTCTGTATTACCTGCAGCAAAACTTTACTAGCATGAGATAGCTCTGAGGCTCTGCCAAATCATCTAAGATTTGCCTAGGCCAGCAGCTCACCTGCACTCCAGCAACTCCAAAGAGTCTGCCCCTCAGAGATTTTTAAATGAAGGTGAAGTAACAATTATTATCAGCTTTTAAACTCCAGGAAATAATCAACTCTGGAATGAGGATTCCAAACTACAAAATCCCTTTTGTTATAAAGCTACTTTAAGTTCATGCACCATAGAGGAATGCTTTAAAGAAAGGAGCTTATAAATTTGAAACCAGACCTCACGGGAAACGCTCAGGCTCCCTTTTCCAATTCTAAAGCATAATCCCTTAAATCACTAGAGACTCTGTTAAGTTTGCATTTCTGGCATAGCACATAATTTAGGCTTTGATGTATTTTTATCATGGTTTTATAAATACAGGTATGTGTTAGTTAACATGTATGAGACGTTCTGTGAAACAGGACATCATGTGATTTGGACACTTTCTGAGCACCATATTCAAACCTTATATGGGAGGCTGCTTTCAGTTGTCTTCGTTACTGTCGTATTGCTGCCACTGCTGCTGACAGAGGTTGGAGGAACAAGCGCTGGCCGCAGGAGACACTGAGAAGGAGCGAGCAGGGCAGCAGAGCCTTGCCTGATGTTCCACCTGCCTGAGCAGTAGGAGAAGCTCAGCCCCACCGGCCTTGCTACCACCTGTCCGCTTGACTAAGTTCAAGAGCTCCCACCCAGAGTCATGCCCTCTGACACCTGCCTGGATGCCACCTGTGGCCCAATAGTGTCACGAGTCTGGATTTGGTTTTTTTTAAACCATTAAGGGAAATAATAAACAAAAGAAGAGCTGCTTTCACTTTAAAAAAAACAAAACAAAAACCTTCATGGGACAATGGATGTATATGCAGTCAGACATTAAACGAGGCATACCTATACTTAAGGAGCTCTGGCAGCGTAGTGGTTACGAATCAGGCTGCAAACCGCAAGGTGAGCAGTTCGAAACTACCAGCTATTCCACAGGAGAAAGATGACGCTTTCTGCTCCCGTAAAGATTTATAGCCTTGGAAACCCTGTACAGGGTCCCTATGAGTCGGAACCGACTCCACGGCACATAACAACAACAACAACCTATACTTAATGTGTCTAATTGCTATTCAATGAATAGTTTTTAAATTGGGATACCTACTCCTTTGCTTACAGTATGAACTTATTTAACTTCTTAAATTTAATAACTAGATACAAGGATAGTAAATTCTTAATTTTTCCACATATAAAGGAACAAAGAAAAGCCCTGCGAAGAGCATACATCCCACTAAGGCTTTCTGCTCCCATAAAGATCTGTAGCCTCAGAAACCTGTGCAGAGTCACTATGATTTAGAACTGACTCCACAGTACTTAACAACATCAACAAGGGTGTTGGAGGAGAACATTGAAAGTGCCATGGGCTGCCAAAAGAACCAACAGATCTGTGTTGGAAGAAGTACAGCCAGAGTGCTCCTTGGAGGTCAGGATGGCCAAACCTCGTCTCTTACACTTTGGACATATTGTCACTGGAGGAAAAAATCATGTTTGGTAAGGTGGAGGGTCAGAGAAAAAGAAGAACACCCCCAGTGAGATGGATTGGCAAAGTGGCAGCATCAATGGGCGCAAGCGTGGCAACAGCTGTGAGTTTGGCCCAGGACTGGGCAGTGTTTCGTTCTGTTGTGCACAGGGTCACTATGAGTCGGTGCCAACTCGATGGCACCTAACAACAACAGCAAGGGAACTTCTACTTCCACATAGCAGGTAAGTGTCTGATTATGCTAGGGAATCTCTGCTAACTTCTTTTCACATGTCTCCTTCTTTCCTGCCTTTCTGTCTTAAGGTTGTTTTATCCCAAATTAAAACCTGATGCACAACCATTAGAGATTTTTTTATTTTTCTGACCAAAACAAACAAATGAAACATTCAAAGACTTTCAAAAATAGTTAAATTAATTTAACTGATGAATTTATAAGCTAATTTATCACTGAGAACAAAAACAAAAATGTATGACTTACATCTGTTGGAAATTGTAACTCTTCTTTAGTGTATTCATGAACTACCTGGATTAAATCCTTTGGAAAATATCCAAAAATACGCCCAACCTACATGAAAGAATTGGCAAAAGGGACAAATATTAGTAAAATTTCTGCATGAGAAATTGTTAATGAGGGGAAACAGAAATAAGTAAGTATATGTAATTGAGCTTGATAATTGCTATTATTAATTATTCTGAGATCATTATTCCAATAAAGATTATTGTTTTGTTAAATGCCGTCAAGTCAGTTCCAACCCATAGCAACCACGTGTAGGGTTTCTGAGGAGCTACTGGTGAGCACGAACCACTGACCTTATGATTCAAACCGACTTTGCAATTCAGCACATTAACCCACAGCATCAGGACTCTGAATAAAGATTAAGTACATAATATTGTGAAACCAAGGTTTCTAAAACTATGAAAGTTTATTATTATCAATATTAAGCTTAATTCTAAACACAGGGCACAGGCTTTTGAAGTAGATAAAAAAGCTGCATATAAGATGATTATTGTATGATTTGTACTTAAAACTATGTAAACCAAAGCTGCTTTAACCTCTAATAAGAATTTACTTGTATATTTCACTGCATTACTCATAAACCAGTACTTACAAGTAATAAGAATATAAAGTTTCTAAAATGTATGACCACTACAACAAAACACAAGACAGATATTTCTTGATATTAGAAGATGTACTAGCTTTTTCAAAAGCTACACTTAGAGGTATTCTGACAGAAAATAAAATTGCAATGTAATTCTATTAATCTACAGACCAGACTTCAGTTGCATGCAAATGAAAACATCTATAGGAAATAACCCCATTCATCTTCAGCACTAACAATTAAGGTATAAAAAGCATGTCCTCTTAGCAAACATATACTGTATTTTACTAGCTACTGTCTGAATGGGAAGGTACATCTCTTCCTAATCATTACCTAAGAAGGAAATCAAATGCACAAAAGAAGAAAGGCCGTCTTATCACTAATTGTAAAATATCCCCATTCATGAATGCTCGTATTCTATCTGAAACCAGTATTTGTAGTTGAGTACTGCCAAGAAGATTAGATAAGACAGGGCAATTAAAAGGTGCTATATTGACAGGTGAAGTCTGAAATTCAAAGAAACCAAAAAACACTTAGACACAGAAGCAAGCATCATTTTGAAAACCCAGAGTTGGAGAGGTAAAACAAAGTAAAATATACTTTTCCCTTCTGAAGGAAATTTTGTCTAAATGTTATTAAAGAGAATCTGGAGAAGAGAAGGAAATCAGAAATATATGTTTAATCTTTTTCCATTGAGACCATAAACTAAAGCCGCTGCCATCAACTCGATTCCAACACACAGACCAGTATCTACATAAGGTCTGTAAATCTTTAAGGGAGCAGACAGTCTCAACTTTCTCTTATGGAACAGCTGGTAGGTTTGAACCAACAACCGTATGGTTAACAGTCCAGTGCCTAACCCACAGCACCAACAAGGGCCCCTTTGAGACCACTGTTGTTATTACTTCATCCAGAGCTCCCACCCAGAGCCATGTCCTCTGTCTCACCTGCCTGGATCCTACCTGTGGCCCAGCAGTTTCCGAGCAGTTCAAACCGACTTTGTGGTCTAGTACACACACCCACAGTGCCATACCAGGACTCCATAGTTGATTTAATATTCCATATTTATAAACTGCGTGTTGTTAAGAGCAGTTGAGTCAGTTCTGACTCACAGAAACCTGTATAGGATTTCCAAGGACTGGTTTGTCGGTTTGAACTGCCAACCTTGTCGATAGCAGTCCAGTGCTGATCCAACAGCACCACACCAGGACTCCCAGTGTCACATTTTTTTATGGTCTCACAAACACTATTGATGATGGACCCTCATGACTAAAAGTTACATTTAAGTCCAGCTATCCATAGGTATGAGGTTCTAGCCCACCAGCCTCTCTGCAGAGAAATATGAGGCTTTCTGCTCCTGAGAAGATTTAAAGCCTCGGAAAGCCTATTACAGAGTCACTATGAGTCGAAACCAACTCGACAGCACTTAACAACAACATCCATCCAATGCTTAATTTTGTTCCTGTGTATCATCCTTGCCAAGGAATTATTGATCTGATGTGAAAAAATTAGAATATGGCTTCAAAGAACAAATTCTGTGTTTTAGAATTTGCTATTAAGATTAATGTAAATAGGTATCCTTGCCTATGAGACAAGGTGCCTTCCATTACAGAGCTTTTGACTTTATAGACAGCACAGTGGTTACGATTTGGGCTGCTACCTCAAGGTCGGTAGTTCGAAGCTACCAGTGGTTCCGTGGGAGAAAGATGAGGTTTTCTGGTCCCATAAAGATTTACAGCCTCAGAAACCCTGTGCAGGGTCACTATGAGTTGGAAATGATTCCGTGGTACTTAACAACAACAACAAAGGTCATTGGGAGTCCTGGTGTGGCACCATAGGATAAGCTCTCCGCCACAAAGTCAGCTTGAACTTGCAAGGTTGGCAGTTCAAGCTCACCAGCCGCTCCTCGGAAACCCTATACAGGGTCGCTATGTGTCGGAATTGACTTGATGGCACTTAACAACAACAACAATAGTCACTGGGGAGTCCTGGTGTGGCATTGTAGGATAAGCATTGGACTGCAAGGTATGTTTAATTTAACCACAAGGTCAGTGGTTCAAACTCACTAGTTGCTGCTTAAAAACCCTATACAGGGTCGCTGAGTTGAAACTGACTTAACAGCACTTAACAACAACAACAAAGTTCTCTGGATGGAGCAAAAGTTTTGCACTTGACCTCTAATTGAATGGCTGTCCCAGAGGTACCACTGAAGAAAGACCTGTCATTCTGCTTCCATAAAGTTTTGTTGTTGGTGTTGTTAAGTGCCCTCAAGTGGATTCCAACTCATACCAACGCTGTATAGGGTTTCCAAGGAGCAGCTGGTGGGTTTGAACCGTAGACCTTGTGGTTCAAACTGACCTTACAGTCCAGTGCTTATCCTACAGCACCACACAATTCTATGGAACAGTTTAACTGTGTAACACTTAGAATTGCCATGAGATGGAATCAATTTGGTAGCAGTGGGTTTAAGACATATCAACAAACTAACTGCAACATGAGGCCATAAAAATGAATGCCACACAGCAATGTAAACAAAGTGCCACCTAAACCATCATCAGCGCTTTTTCAAGAAGGCAGGATAAAAGTTAGAACTCAGTCAGACAGGATTTCTAGAAGTTAAATATGGTCAAGAATAAAAAGTGTGGGGCAGAAAAATGCATGTTGAGTTCATTTGCCCAAATATCCAAAGATGAGTAAGGGAAAAACAACTTAACCATTATATGAAAAAATCATGCCCCAGTGTATGGAAAATACTTTCCAAGATACAGATTCAGAAATCTTGTTTGGTAGACTTAAATGTTAATAAATCTTGCTGGATACTCTTAAAAGAAACAAAATAAATTCTTCTCTGCATCGTATTAGAAGCCTTGGTGGCACAGTGGATTACACATTGGGCTGCTAACCACAAGGTCAGCAGTTCAAATCCAACAGACGTTCCAAAGGAGAAAGTAGAGGTTTTCTGTTTCTATGAAGATTCTCAGCCTTGGAGACCCTGAATAAGGTCATTATGAGTTAGCATTGATTTGATGGTAGTGGCTTTGTTTTTCTGGTTTTTGTTTTGTATGGTGTGATTCACCTGGGATTCTGCCTGAAGACTAAGGCTGTAATACCTGACCACATGACTTTTTGAGATTTCTCCCTGGGAATCTAGAGCACCAACAAAATAAATCTATTTTTCTGTATGGGGGTATCTCAAACCTTATTTTCTGCTGAGTTTCTGTTTGTTATGACCTTGAGATTAAACACTTACACAGTTGAGACTGGGTCATTTGTCTATGTTTGGACAGTCCAAAGGACATCACAGACCACTACTACTTTAAGTAATCTGCTGCCAAAGAGCTCTTTACAGTGCTAAAGAACACAAATGTCATGTTGAGGACTGGAGTATACCTGACTTAAAGGTATTTTCAATCACTTTATATGCCTGTGAAAACTGGACAAAGAATTAAGAAAGACCTGAGAAGAATTGATGTATGTGAATTATTGTGTTGACCAAGAAGATGGAAATTAACATGGACTGCCAGAACAAAGAAACAAATCTGTCTAGGAAGAAGTACATGCAGAATGCCTGTCCCTTAGAAGAGAACATGGTAAAACTTTTAGTTTCACACACTGTGGACATGTTTTCAAGAGGACCCTGTTCCTGGGAAAGGGCAGCCTGGTAAAATTTATGGTAAGCAGAAAAAAACAGAGGAAGCCCTCAATGAGACGGACTGACACAGTGGCTATAACAGTGGACTCACACAAAGCAACAATTATGCGGCTGGTGCAAGGCCAGACAGTATCTCATTCTGTTGCACATAGGGTCACTAGGAGTTGGAACCAACTCAACAGCTCCTCACAATTTCAGTAAATATACAGTCCACACACCATACTTCTTAAAAAGAAGATAATATCGCATAAGGCTCTCAACTAGGCCACTCTGTGTGAATCTCCTTGAATATCAGGGCATCCAGGAATCAAGCTGGAAGTAGTATCCCTGGAGAGCCTCCAGAAGTATCTGAGAAGCGGAAAAGGAATGACCCAAAAGTTGCTAAAAGTCAACAAACAGCAAAGCACACAACAAACATGGATTTTGCTTTTTGAACAAACTAGTAATAGCACAAATGATTAGGTAACACTATTCCCAGGGATGTCCATTTTCCACAAATACTAATAATGTAATTATAGAAAATAAAATGTGCATAAAATGAACTCTAAACTTGTGTGGCTGATAAACTATCCTGCATGTAGTTTACAGGGAAAACCTAATGCCCAAGAATCCAATCAAAATAAAGAGTCCCTTCCTTTTTGAAACACGACAGTTAAGGATGTTCAGGTTGTTAGCATTTTAACCTTTAACATGTATGGAACACCATGACTGGTAAGCACCATGTTGCTGAGAAGCAATAGGCAGAATCAGTTCAACTCTAGGAAAGAAACCTGAGCTGAGCCCCAACTCTCTGTCAGAGACCCAGAGCTATCTTCTGTTTTCACTCAAGCAGAGAAAACAGGTTGTTGTTGTTGTCAGGTGCCATCGAGTCAGAACTGTAGCAACCCCATGCACAGCAGAATGAAACAATGTCCGATCCTGGGCCAACCTCACTACCGCTGCCACACTTGAATCCATCAATGATGCCACCTGGCTGATCCATCTCGTTGGGAGTCTTCCTCTTTTTCTCTGACCCTCCACCTTACCCAGCATGACATCCTTCTCCAGCAACTGTTCCCTCCTGACAACATGTCAAAGTATGAAAGAAGAAGTTTAGCCATCTTGGCCTCCAAGGAGCACTCTGGCTGCACTTCTTCCAAAACAGATCTATTGGTTCTTTTGGCAGTCCATGGCAACAGGTTAATCCCCTCAAAAGTCCCAAGAAAACACCGTTATATAAATCTACAGTGCTAACAAGGGAATAAAAAGAAAGAAAATAAGGTACATCACATTTTTACTTACACTTCCAGCCCAAACTTCAGGTGATCTCCCTGCCAGTTTATAGTAGACATATACAGGATCTCCTTTTTTTAAATTCACAAAACGACAGTCTGGGCCTGTGAAATCTTCGAGGGCTTCACCACGGTACATTAGCACTGTATGTAGAGAAAGACAAAATTCACCAAGTATCACGATTCAACTTTTGTAGTCCACAATAATTGGTCAAGAAATAGAAGAATCCACTATAAACAATCAAGTTTCTCCAGTATTCTCCAAAATCACTTTCAATTCATATTATTCATAGTCTCAAAATATCAAATACCCTTAGAGCTTTACTGTTAGAGGAGTTCCAGTGTGGTTCGGACAATTAACGTTCTTGGCTGCTAACAAAAGAGATGGAGGTTCAGGTATTCCCAGAATCACCCAGAGGTGCCTTGGAAGAAAAGTCTAGCAATCTACTTTTTTAAAAAATAAGCCATTAAAAACCTTATGGCCTATAGACCTCCTCTGACACCCATGGGGTCATCATGAACAGCAGTCCTTTTGATGGCAACTGATAACTGGTTACTGTTCTATATCTATAGTTAAAGGAAAGAAAAAACAAAACCTTTTCCCATTTTCCCCTGTGGATGACACTGAGAAAGAGAAAATAGTGGGTCCTCCACCACACATGGCTGATCTCAGGGGAAGCTCTTGGTTCCCTGTCTAACCCTCTAACCCTCAATCTTTGCTGTTTCTTAATTGTAAAAAGCATCATTTTGCAAATGGGTAAGCCTGAGCACAGCCACTAGCTACATGTAGAAGCAATGGAGCAACTAGGAAGAACACAAGGGAACTCCCAAGGGGTCAATTAACTTGAACTAACCACTAAAAGGCACTGCCTATAAGTTGCGGTAACTGCTACCAAGCAGCAGTAAACACTGTCAATTTCATCTGCAGCTGAATTGTTCCCTCCGTATAATATCTAAACAAATTATTGGGAAAGTACACTGTACCATACTATAGACCCAATTACATAAACGAGGCAGTATCTTCTGAGAGCAAATAATGTTGACTGTTTCAAAACAAAGGGGGAAAAATGACCCTTATTTATATTTTCTACAAACAAAATAAAAAATGGGTATCAGTGATAACAGGGACGATAAGAATACATCCATTATCTTTAAACATGAAATGTAGGCCTTATATCACACTTGATCTAAACACTGGTAGAAGCAGTATTTTCCCTTTGACCAACACATAGTTTATGATGTTGACTCATATAAACAATAAGTGCATTTACATAGCAGAAAAAAAAGGATGCAATGGAAATATTTTTTTTTCCTAGAAGTCAATTAGCAATAAAATACATAAAAATATATCTTTAAGTCTTTCATGACCAAATAACATTCTACTTTGAATTTTTGGTTGAAAAGTACTAGACTGCTAATCACTGGGTTAGCAGTTCAAACCCACCAACCACTCCAAGGGAGAAGGATGAGGCTTTTTGCTCCTGTAAAAATTTGCAGTCTCGGAAATCCGATGCAGGATTCCTATATGGAATTGACTCAATGGTGGTATATTTTGGGTTTACCATGTTTGCAGTTAATGGAAGGTATGCTGAAATCAAGAGGGAAACATATTTGGAGCTATTATGGGATTTGACCATGGAGCTCTGGTAGCATAGTGGTTACGAATCATGCTGCAAACCTCAAGGTCAGCAGTTCAAAACTACCAGCTGTTCCACAAGAGAAAGATGAGGCTTTCTGCTCCTATAAAGATTTACAGCCTCAGAAACCCTGATCAGGGTCACTATGGGTCAGAACCGACTCGATGGCGATGGCACTTAACAAAAACAACAGTATGGACTTTGACCAGGCAGTGTTTTGTTCTGTTGTGCATAAGGTTGCTAGGAATTGAAACCAACTCAATGGCACCTAACACCAACATAGACTTTGACACAATTATGTGGGACACGTATGTCCCACAGAGACTCTGGTGGTAAGTGGTCGGATGAGATCCATTTTTCCAGTTCACCCATTTAAACAGGTCCCCACCAGGTGGTAACATACACTACAACTGGCACAGCAGTTTCCCGAGAAACCTGAGAGGCTGAGAATGGTGATGGGTGATATACTCATATGTCCCACAGGCCACAAAAGGGTTAAATATGTATTCAAAAACCAAAAACAGAGATCCAGAGAGGGTTGTTTGCTTTCTGAAACCAAAATCTGATTATTTTAATATATGTCAACATCCTGATTCAGGCTGAAGGTGATGGACACTTAGCGATGGGCGTTCTATCAGAATTGCAAATGACAGCATTACTCTTAAAACCCTCAGAATTGTTGTTAGGTGCCATCCAGTCAGTTCTAGCTCATAGCAAACCTATGCACAAAAGAAGAAAACACTGCCCGTTCCTGCCCCATCCTCAAAAACTTTGTTACCCTAGAGCCCACTGCTGCTGCCACTGTGCCAATCCATCTCATTGGGGGGTCTCCCTCTTTTTTGGTGACCCTTGACTTTGCCAAGCATGATGTCCTTCTCCAGTGACTAGTCCCTCCTGATAATATGTTCATTGTATGAGAGACGAAGTCTAGCTATCCTAACTTCTAAGGAGCATTCTGGCTGTACCGAGAATGTTGTTGTTAAGTAAGTTCCTTCAGACTCATAATGACCCTGTATAGGCTTTTCAAGGAGCAGCTGGTGACTCTGAACTGCCGAGCTGGTGGATAGTAGTCCAGTGCTTATCCTATAGCAACAACACAGCAAAAACCCAGGCTCTGTTCATTTATATCTCTATGTACATATTCCATTTTTCAAGTAATGTTACAACTATGGGCCCTTCCAACACTATGTTTTAATACTGATGATGCATCAGTGATGTTAAGTTATATTAAGGAGCTCAGGTAGAAGAGCACTTGAAAGCAAAAAACAGCAACCCTTCTTACTAATAACCTGGTGTTGCTCTGAGAAAACTGAAGGAAGTAGTAGTTGTGGAAATTGGGCTGCTTTTGGTGTGTTTATTTATGTCAGCTCTAGGGTAATCTCTTGGGAGAAAGATAAGGCTTTCTGCTCCCGTAAAGATTTACAGCCTCAGAAACTGTGTACAGGGTCACTATGAGTCAGAACCGACTCCACAGCACTTAACAACAACAACAACAACAGGGTAATCTCTGGAGTCCTGGTGTGGCGCTGTAGGTTAATGTGCAAGATCTGTTTGAACCACAAGGTCATCAGTTCAAGTTCACCAGCTGTTACACAGGAACCCTCTATGGGGTCTATATGAGTGGCAAGAAACTCCACGGTACCTAACAACAATAAGGGTCACCTCTAGGACTCCTGATGTGGCTCTGTAGGATAAGTACCAGACTACTAACCTCAAGGCCGGAGGTTCAAACTCACCAGTTACTCCTCAGAAACCCTTATACACGGTCACCATGAGTTGGAACACTCTCAACAGCACTTAACAACAAATTAGAAATCACCTCCTTCTTCCTTTAATGTTGGTGTAGTAACAGGGACTCCTTCAGCTTATGAAACTTGTCTTTGAATAACATCAATTTGAATATGAGTAGTAAACTATTGCTTACAATTTATGAACTACCATTTCTACAACGGTTGTCTGTAAATTCTAAATTCAGCAAACACATGTGAAGTGATTCCAACAGCATCAGTGACTAAGGCTAAAACTGGTTTGTCTTGTAAGATCCTTGGGATATTTTTTATTATTACATTAATAACCCTCTTCATCTGAGTCTGTAGATCTCCGTCGTCCATACCGCCCCCAATTAGGGACTGGGAAACAATTCCGCTTCCTGCGCACAGAAGAAGTGGCTACCGGTCCCATGTGGCAGAAGCCCAGCCTCTGCCTCTTTCAAAAGTGAGACTTTTGGCTTTTCTGCTGCCCTGACAGTTTGCAAGGAGACTTCAAGGCACAGAAATGACAGGATAAGACAGAGAGCAGAGACCTTGGAGTACAGAGCGTGCACAGACTCCGGATTCATCCCAAACCTAAACTCCAATCGGCAGTAGGCGTCCCAAATACCAGTTACCAGAAGGGCAGAGGGACAAGCTCCATATCCCAGGAAAGCGCAAGGGTGCAGGGACAGCACCAGGTCACCTTTTCCGAGTCTCATCCTCAACCTGCCAATAGACACCAAGGGAGAACAGCTCTTGACTGCAGCGTGGGGAACCGAGGGTGAGCGGCGCATAGCCCCATTCCCCTCCGATTCGTGTCCCACTGGGTTGAGGGAGACTGCGGGCCACCAAGAACCCCGCCTAAGTCAGCAAAGCAAAGATCAAACGCTGGCAACAAGTGGGAAGTGCAGCCCCCCAGAGTGAGGACCCTCTGGCCCTGGCGACTGTAGAGGCAGAGGGGAGAAACGCAGGGAACCGTGGAACCGTGGTGAGACCCAAGGCTCGTCCACCTCTGCGCCACAACCCCCGCTCCAAAGGCACGGCGGAGACCCCCGGGCCGCGCCCCACCCGCCTGTTCGTCCTGCCTGCCGGCAGGCCCACACACTTACTGCTGCATTCCTCATCTGCGCACAGCTTGTGCTCCGAGAAGCGCCGGCCCAAGCCTGGGTCCTGCTGACCCAGCACTCGCCAGGGCGGCCCGAACTGGAGCAGCCAGAAGAGCAGCCAGAGCGCCGCAGCCATGTTGTGGTCAGCTCCGAGGAGCCAGTAATGCGGAGGAGGCCCCCGGGCGCGGGAGGCGGTGCCGGGGGCGGAGCGCAGGAGTCCGGGGAGGGTAGGCGGACCGGCTCCCTGGAAAGGGCTCTAACTGACACGTCAGCAGGGTCTCTGGAAGAGAGTAAGGGTAGAGGGGTAGGAGTGCCTCAAGGAGGAGGACTGTGAGCTCCCTCCTTTCTCCCGAGACCTTCTCTACTGGTCGCTACCTGGGCAACCAGGAAAACGGCTAAAGTAATAGAACCTACTATTGTGAGGTAATGGAGCTCTGGTAGCGTAGTGGTTACAGGCCGCCAACCTCTGTGAGGTAATGGAGCTCTGGTAGCGTAGTGGTTACGAATCGGGCCACCAACCTTAATGTCAGTGGTTCGAAACTACCAGCTGCTCCACGGGAGAAAGATGAGGCATTTCTATGCCCATAAAGATTTACACCCTTGGAAACCCTGTACAGGGTCGCTATGTATGGGTCGGAACCGACTTGACAGCACTTAACAACAACAACAGTCTATGATTGGGGAGTGCTGGTGTGACACTGTAGGAAAAGCACTGGGCTGCTAATCCTAAAGTCAGAGGTTCAAAATCACCAGTTGCTCTTCAGAAACCCTATACAGGGTCACTGTGGTTGGAACTGACCCGATGGCACTTTGCAACAACATTGTGTGAGGGGAGTGCCTGGGGGATGCAAATGGTAATTCACTTGACTGCTAACTGAATAGTTGCAGGTTTGTACCCACCCAGAGGTACCTCAAAAGAAAAGTGATGATTTATTTCTGAAAATTTAGCCATTGAAAACCATGTGGAACACAGTTCTACTTAGACACACATGAGTAGACTCCATGGCAACTGATTTTGTTGTGAGAGAGGAACTGTTTTGATAGATATATAAATATTAGAACAGTCCCTGGACATAAAGAAATCACTCAGTAACAGTTACTGTTAGATGTTCTCTAGTTGGACACCTGACCT